AGTGAAGGAAAAATTGCGGAAAGTACTAAAGAGGATGGGCAAATTAAAATGTTCAAAAGAGGTGTGGTCATATTTTACAATTAAAAGTACTTTGCAAAAAATAATTACTTCCCTTTTTTTAATAATTTGATGATGCAGTATGGATGAAACCTTTGTGGAGGTTTAATTATGTGAATTTGTAGTGTAATAACAATAATATTAAAATATGTTTTTATCTGTATAGCTAAAAGTTTAAAAATAAATTAATACTTTTATTCAACAAGAATACAACATTTGATTGATCAAACGTGACAGTACAGGCATTTATGTTACAAAATATTCACCAAAGAATCTTGGGGGGAAAAATGTATCACAGTTTCCACAAAAATATTAAGCAGCAGAACCGTTTTCAACATTGATATTAATAAGAAATGTTTCTTGATCACCAAATCAGCATATCAGAATGATTTCTGAAGGATCATGTGACACTGAATATTGGCTGCTGAAAATTCAGCTTTGCCATCACAGGAATAATTTGCATTTTAAATAATTACATATATTAAATATTTAAATATACAATATTTTTGATTAAATAAATGCAGCCTTGGTAAGCATTAGAGACTTCTTACAAAAATATTACAAAATTTTGTAGATCCAAACCTTTACAAAAAGCAGTGTAAAAGTGAAAAATAATAAAAGGTAGATGAAATGATAAATCAATAATAATAATAGTAATAGTAAAAATTTTAAACAATGACTGTATTCCATTGCGGATGTTTAGAATTACTGCTGTTAAAAATACAGAATTCTGGCATGAAACTCTAGATGGCGCAATCCGATAGGTCTAGCTCAATCTGACCTGGTGACATCATTGTCACATGGCAGCTGATTGGTTCCCTCCTGTATTGGTAGCCAATGAGCTCGCCGCTCAGTATTCAAATACCTGGCTTTTGTTTGCTGTAGCAGTTGGCAGCGCACTTCAGAAACCCTCCACCTTCCCCAGCTCCACCTGTATTGATCTGCTACGAGGTGATTCATGTATGCTATATGGGGGTTATTCATATGTGTTATATGTGCAGCAGTAGTATTTCTTACATGCTTACAGCAGCATGTTGTGGATGTTTTGGCAGTAGCAAGTCTCGGTACTTGCTCTGCCACAGCAGCGTAGCAGATCTATTCCGCCAAGACCAAATACATTAACATTGTCATGTGCATTACCATGCCAATCCCTCCTAGAGTTGTCATGACAGAACTCAAATACCTTAAATGATGCTGAATGTTTTGTTTTAGGGTTGCACTGGAACGTTCACTAGTATAATGGGTTATGTGTACCACATGAAGAAATGCGGCAAGGAGCCGTCAGAGCTGGAGAAGCTCTTAATGAACTGCAAGCACTGCGGAAAAGCGTATCGTTCCAGAGCGGGCCTGGAGTACCACCTCAAGAATGAGCACAGTCCGGTGAGTCCTCCTCCCCTGTGTTCAATTCCCTGTATTAATAAACTTTAAATTAAATGTCTGTTCTGACATGACAGATTCTCATTCAGGCTGTTGATGTTTTCACGAATGAAAGGTCACTATTATCTGTTGTTGCAGACGACCCAAGAAAGTGAAATAGAGGAGGTGAAGACACAGAAAGAGCCCATCCCAGAGCGAACACAGAGCGGACGCGCCAAGCGCTTGTCGGCGCAGGTGGCCGTGTTCCACTTGAAAGAGATCGCCAGTGAGGAGCTGCTGAAGGAATGGCCCAAAAGGAAAGTGCAGCGTGACCTGGTACCAGACGACAGGAAGGTGCTGCAAAACATGTATATGTCAAACTATTTCGACGTGTTGTAATTGCAGGGCTGTGAAGAAGTCAGAACCTGTGTGAAGCTTTTTGGTAAGGCTGCATCACCTTTGTTTGTTTTGCATACTAAGATTTTTATTATTTCTGTTGACGATGGTTGGAATCTTCGAATTTGCAAAAGCACACTTTCACTAAAAGGTTTTAGTTTCTCTGTCACGTTTTGAGGACTGTGAATGAAGAATCAATCTTTTATTAATTTTTATAGGCATTTATGGTGTTTTGTGTCCATGTAGCTGAAGTATTCTCGTCCAGGGTTGCCGGTTTTTAGCCAGGAGACTCTACGGAAGTGGAAGAATGAAGTCAAACTGCATAAAAAAGTGCAATGTCCAAACAAGGTGTGAACTTCATGCATAAACTGTTATTATTCCAGGTGTTTTTACCATTGTGTTCGAACTTAAAGGGCCATTCATTAATGTTTTACGTATGTTTTGCACCGATTGTAGCATTATGCAAAAGCAAAGATTTTCAGTGAATGAATGGTTTGCTGAATCAATGTGTAATGATCATCTTTGTTGTCAAATTAGGGATGTAACTGCTTCTATACCAGCGTATCTGGCCTAAAGGCTCATCTTGGGCTATGTACCTTGGTAAGAATAATTTCCCTTTGATTTTAAGAACACACAAAATACAGTTAAAACAGTAATATTGTGACATATTATTACAAGTTAAAATAACTGTTTTATATTTAAATGTATTTTAAATAGTGATTTATACCAGTGATGACAAAGCTGTATTTTCAGCAGCCATTACTGCAGTCTTCACAAGATCCTTCAGAAATCATTCTATTTTGCTAATAATTCTAATTTGCTCAGTAAACCTTATTTATTGGTTGCTTAATATGGAAACTGTAACACTTTTTAGGATTCCTTAATAAATATACATTTCAAAAGAATACTATTTATTTGAAATAGAAATCTTTTGTAAGATTATGAATGTCTTAACTGTCACTTTAGATTAGTTTAATGCATCCTTGCAGAATAAAAGTATTAATGTCTTTGAGAAAATTATACTGACCCCAAACTTTTGAGTGGTGTAGTGTAGTTTAACCATAAAAGATATTCATCTGTATAGTATACAGTATATTCTGAAACTAAATGACTATTGCCGTGTTATTAGTACCTAAATCAATACGTTTCTAAGGTTCTCTAATACTGATTTTTTCTTGTTTAATGCACATAATTGGATTTGCTCTGGAACAGGATACAGTTGTGGAAAAGATGGTGAATCTTTTTTTCTCTCTCTCTCTCTGCAGGGAGAATTTGAAACTGGGAAATTTAAATGCTTGATATGTAAGAAAGAATTCAACTCTGAAAGTGGAGTCAAGTACCACATTAATTCCATTCATTCTCAGGTAACACTGTCATTTTTTATTTTATTTCATTTTATGCTCTTTATATATCATAAAAATATACATTTTAGAGGAAACGTTCTCACTCTTATTATTTTTCATAGGACTGGTTTGTTGTTCGGTCCAAATCTAAGAGTTCAAAGTTTGATAAACTGCGTAAGACTCATCCAAAGGAAGATTCCATGAGGTGTCCAGACCTTCCCTCACCAAACCCAGGCCTCAGTTTTCCCCAAGTACCCAGCGCCTGGCAGGATAGACAGACGTCAGCGGTGCCCTTGTCAAGTGGAACAGCAACCCCAGGAAGAGTGGAAATAAAGAGGAAGGAAGGGCCAAACAAACAGAAAGAGAAGGAAAGCAGACAGGAGAAAGACTGCTATGAGTTCAGCGGCAGTGACAGTCCCAGCAGCAGCAGCAGCAGCAGTAGTGAGAGCTCCAGCAGCGAGTCAGAGGCCGAGGACTCAGCGGCACACAGACATGACGAATGGGCCCTCAGCAGGCCCCTCACGAAGCCTGTGTCCAGCCAGCAACCCGGAAGTAATTCATAAACCATTTCTGCTCCTTTTCCAAATATGTAGTTTTTCCAATGTTCACCTCCAAAGATTAAAGAGATAGACTACCATTCAAAAGTTTTGGGTCGGTAAGATTTTTATTGAATTTGAAAGATGTCTCTCACACTCACCAAGGCTCCATTTATTTGTTAAAAAATACAATAAAAATTGTAAAAGATTATTACAATTTAAAATAACTGCTTTCTATTTTAATATATTTTAAAATGTAGTTTATTCCTGTGATGGCTTAGCTGAATTTTCAGCAGCATTACTCCAGTCTTTAGTGTCACATGATCCTTCAGAAATCATTCAGATATGCTGATTTGGTGCTCAAAAACATTTAATATTATTATCAACACTAAAAACAGTGCTGCTTAATATTTTATTGGAAACTGATACTTTCCACCATTTTTTTTTTGATGAATAGAAAGTGAAAACAATTTAAAAACAGCGTAATGTCTTTACTGTCTTTACGTTTCATCAGTGTAATGCATCCTTGCTGAATAGTTTTTTTTTTTTTAATGCTAGTGTATATATTTGTAGGATATGCAGAATTGTGCTTCCCTTTTTATTGACAAGTACTGCATATATAGAAAGGCCACTTGCAAACATTTTAAAATGTCTTTGAAAGTAATATCACAATTTTACTTGAATTTGATTTCATTTTAGGAATAAAATATAAGCAATGTATATTGAATGTCGAGCATTATGTTTATTTTTCTGTAAGCTCTGCTCTGTACCTCTAAGTTTCACTGTGGACCAGTGACCGACATTATTAAAACAGTTGCATGTAACAATGTTCATGAATGCTGCTGGTTTTTTTTTTTGCGATATCAAGTGTGATTCTGACACCACAAAAATGATGCTCTGTAATAGTTGAATTTGTGACAGTGATCTATGCTGCGTAAGCCTTTAGTATGAAGGTACAGAATACGTGTTCGTGGATGTCAGGGAGAGAAAATGAGTTTGTTGAAACGCATTTACAAGCTGTTGTCTTGATTTGAATTAAAATGTCTATTGAGGTCTTTGTTCATTTTTTTTTTACACAAATTCACATATTCCTTTATGATAACAAAACATGGACATTAAAATAAATATACACAAAGTAGAAATAGCTTACAAATGTAAAATCAGTCCTCTTTCCACGTTGTAAATGTGAAAAATGGCAATAAAGTACTCTACTTCCGCTTGACCACATTGATACCACCTCGTGGTCAGGCGGGATCACGCACATATTTAAAAAGCTCTCTGGCGGCAGTGCTGGATAGGGGGCGGTAGTGAGCACGCGAGCGTTAACATGGTGACGACGGCAAGCTGATGTCAAAAATGCTTTAGCCGAAAAGTGTCGTGGAGATTAGCACATTTCTGAAGAGCACGAGTGAATATAAGCGTTTTAATTGAAATCGGGAACGAACACGTTGCACCTGGCTGGGATCTGATTGCGTGAGTGTTTCCTTGTGTCGAGTGAGTTGGATTCGAACCCGCGTGAATCTTATACTGTGCGGTTGAACGAAAGAGTGACCGGTCATCCTGAGCCACTGTTAAAACCCCATGTCTTTCCTGTGCTTTCCTAGCCTAGAAGCAAGTCTTTTGAGAATATTATAAAGTTGAATTTTAGAAGATACGTTACTGGTCTTAGAAGGAACATATCTCAAGGCAGTATATGTTTATTTTAAAACCTGTTTTATGTTGAGTGGACGCTTTCTACAACGTAATGTCAAATGTATTTATTTATTTTGCAGCAGGAGATTGAATTACTTGAGGAATTGTTGTTTAGCAAAACTGAGTGAGCTCAATGTACTGTAGGCAAGTCGCCTGTCATCGCTACTTTGCGCATGCGTGGATTTACTACCGTACTTTACTACTATTCTTGTATCACACTTCCAGAGAGAAGTACCAACAAAACCCAGTAGCCCCTCACTGCAGAACAAAGATCCAGGGGTCGAGGTTGGATCCAGATCCAACTCCTCCCACCTTACATATAACTAAACCTACCCATCTCCACCCCCTAGATGTAGATCCAACCCCGCCCCCTGGATATTTTTTCTGCAGTGAGCCATCTCCACCCCTAAACCTACCATCTCCACCCCCCCTAAACCCACCATCTCCACCCCCTAGATGTGGGTCCAACCCCGCCCCCTGGATCTTGTGTTCTGCACCATCTCAGCAAAACTGTTGCATGATGTCGTGATAATACAATGATTTTTGTTTTGGATATGAATCTTTTGACTTTGTAATATGGAAATTGTTTGAATTCTGTTTTGAACACGCTTATATCTAGGAGAATATATATTTATACACATTTGTATATAAAATCAACATTTTTCTTTACTTCTAGACTGTGCTGGCAGCAGTTCTGCGGAAGAACAGGTATTAATGGCAACTGCTGCCCTGAAGTTGGGCGAGCAGAAAGGCGAAAAAATGGGTTTGCCATGTGAAAAAGACACTGATGACCAATCGGCACAGATTAACCTTGAGAGTAAAGGAGCGACTCAGGATTCAGGTGAAGTTCTTGACTCTTCAGAGCCGCAGAAGATGGAGTTAGAGATGCAAATGCCTGGCACGTGGCCAAAGACCAATTCTGATACAATGCTGCATTAGTATAATTAAGATACTATTGTAATTTTTTTATATTTTGGATGAGTTTTTTTTATATTTTTCATTTTAGTTAAAGTTTCAGTAATTTTTTTGTGTTTTTGTCATTTTTTTCAAATATGTCTAATCAGTTCAATTCCCACATTATTCTTTGAAACTTTTTTTATTGTGTCTGGCTTTCTTAGGACACACACCTAGCTCTGAGGGTCCCCCAGGCGTGGACCAGGAAAACCCAGTCAATACAGAGGGAACCCAAAAGACGCAAGGACCGAAGGCAAAGACTCCCGCCAAAAGGAGAAGAAAGGAGATCGTTCCACAGACTCCACCACAACATGACAATTCAGCAGCCTCTGATACTTCTGAACTCACTTCTAGTGGTCGGCCCAAGAGGAGAGCTGCGAAAGTGTATGTTCTCCAGTTGTATGCAGTTTCCCAAAATCCATACAGCATGCTGTATGCAAAATGTACAATCACTTGCAATAAAACCGGTTGTTAAACAGCAGTCACATGCAGAAAAAAAAAAACAATTGCAGTGTTAACATATATTTAGAAGACATTACTACTGTATTTAGTTTGTAAATTGCAATATTTATTATATCTCCTGAAAACAATGCATTGCAGTCCTGCAGCAGAGTGAGTAATCTTTCTCTAGAATAATCAATGGTCAGCTGACATGTTCTGATCAGGACTTGAACTTACAACAATCTTAACGTTGAGCTACTCACAAAGTGGCTTTTTTTTTTTTTTTAAGAAAAAAAAATTCAGAAGCAAAACATGGATGGAAATAGAAAACTCACATTCGCTAAACAGTTTTTGCACTTTTGCACACAGCATTTCAACACAAAAACTTGATGTATTTCATTAGGATGCGATTTGTTCTGATCAGCTGTTTCTGTGGGGGCAGTCGTGGGCTAAAGGTTAGAGAGTCAGACTTGGAACTGTTTTAGTAGGACCAAAAAATTGTAAGCCATCCACCGATGATGTAAAATATAACAATTCATATTATCTGTATCACTTGTGTCTTGATAATGCTTGCCCTTCTTTCACCGAATGCTCTTGCTAGCCGGGATGAAAACTTTTCCCCCTGGGTATTTCCAGAGTGGATTCCTTTTGCCAAAGATTGGCATTTTCTGTCTAACCGGTATCAGTGTAGCTAAATACCTCATAATATTAATGGAATCTAAAAATTCTTAATTTTAACAGTCGTTTTGTTTCAATTAACAGTGAGGCTGAAAAATATTTGCCCCAAGAGAAAGAATCCGCTTCTTTTACCTTTACACGGGAAAGCATCAAGGGACAGATCAAACTGCAAACAGTGAAGAGGTAAGATATCATTAGTTTACTATTCATTTCAACTAGTACTGACCTAAAAAATTTATTTGAAGTACCCACTGAGACTTAATATTTGAATAATTTAACAACACATTCACATTTAATAATAAAATTCATGATTCTCTGCAGTTCATAGTTAACTATTTCAACAAATAGAATAATTATAAATATATTGCTTTTTTAATAAACAGTTATTTTTAATTTTAATTATTAGCTTCAACTCACAAACCCCTTGCAGTTCATACCTCAGTTAGGGAAACCCTCAGCTAGTAGATTAAACACTTTTCAGCCTTTTTTAAAATTTATGTATTTATTTTTTGCAAAGCACACTACTATTCAAAAGTTTGGGGTTGGCAAGTTTTTTAAAATGTTTTTAGTCTCTTACACTCACCAAGGCTGCATTTATTTGATTAAAAATACATTAAAAACAGTCCTTTTATGAAATATTACAAATGTATTTTAAAATGTAATTTACTCCAGTCTTCAGTGTCACATGATACTTCAGAAATCATTCTAATATGCTGATTTGGTGCTCACGAAACATTTATTATTATTATCCATGTTGAAAAAAATTTCACTGCATAATATTTATGTGGAAACCGTGATACATTTTTTTTTGTCAGGATTCTTAGATGAATGGAAAGTTCAAAAGAGCATTTATTTTAAATGGAAATCTAAATAATGCATAATAAAAAAAAAGTACTGATCCCAAATTTTTGAACAGTAGTGTATGTGTACTCATATATATATATATTATATATAATATACATATATATATATATATATATATATATATATATTATATATAATGTTGTATGCTAATCTGCAGGTTTGAATCATTGCCACATCATTCTGAGCGCTGGGATGCTCTTTTCTTTGTGGGGGGTCCTGTGCGGTCCTTGGAATGGTGCCCATGTCCTGACGGGGCGGCCACAAGACAGTATGCTGCCATCTACTGCCACAAAGGCATGGATGACAAACACAAAATCAACAAACTGCACACAGGCCCTGTCTTACTGCAGCTGTGGGAAATCGGAGACCTTCAGTGCAAAAGCAGGTGACCCAGATAAGACACTTACAGATCGGCTTTAAGAGGAAATGTTGGGTTTTACAATAAAATAGTAATTTTTTTACTTTATTTCCCCACGTCAGGCCCTCGACCACTCCTTATCTAGCATATGCTTTGGCGATAGATGACGGATGCATCTGGAATATAAGGTGGTGTCCTGCGGGAGTGTGGGAACTGCCCTCTACCAGCAGAAAGGTATGAAATGACATTAGACCAAAAAGTTTAAGAATATTCATAGAGAGAACAATTTTATTAAACAACTGTATTAAAATAATGCAAAACAGAAACAGAACGTTTTTTGTGTGTACATTGGTGTACATGTATTTTGGTTTTTCTCAGGCTCCACAGATGCCTAGATTAGGTGTTTTAGCAGCAGCTTTCTCTAATGGAAGCATTGGTGTCTACAGTCTTCCACACCCAGAAGCCCTTGCAGCACACCATCAGAGTAAAGGCGAGTAAATGGTGAAATTCATAACCTATGCTTCTTATTTCTTTAGTAAGGTTATATGTTTTAGCATTCAGGTCCACTTGAAATGGATGTTCCAAAGACAGTCAAAGTTTCGTTTTTCCTTGACTATTTTCACTCTCTGTCTCTTTGACACTTGAGGCTGTTTTTTAGAACAGAGATGTCCAATCCTGCTCCTGGAAAGCCACCTTCCTGCAGAGTTGAGTTCCAACACCGATCAAACACACCTGAAGCAGCTAATCAAGGTGTTAAGGGTTACTTGATAATTACAGGCAGGTGTGTCTGAGCAGGGTTGGACCTGAAGTCTGCAGGATGGTAGCTCTGTAGGGGTGGGGTTAGAGATCCCTGCTCTGCTGGAATATGGTCACTCCTAATTTAGAAACTCCCAGTTAATTAATGTGCAATGTGTTGGTCCTTCCAGAAGAGGGCAGCACAAGACAGAAGAGCCTCAAGCCAAGTACTATAATGCATTTTTCCCATTACCACTAAACAAATGCTAATCTGTTTTGTATGATGTCTTTGCTTAATTTTCACAAATATTGGAAAACATAGTTTAAAACAGAACACGCAGAATTTCCTAAAATTGTTTGGAAGATTAACTGTTTAACTTCTTTGTTTATTTATTTGTTTGTTTGTTTATTTATGAATAATAAAACAAATAATAATATTATTAATAATTAATCATTTTATTAATTATTATTATTGTTATTATTAAATGAATGAATAGATTAATTGGTTAAATCAAATGATTATAACAATAATAAAAATAATTATTAAGCATTCATTAATTTAATAATAATAATAATTACAAATAATGATTAATAATATGTAGCTATTAGTACAAATAATGATTAGTGATACAATAGGTATTATTATTTATTATATAATAATAATAATAATAATAAATATTGAATGAATTAATAGATGAATCAATCAAATCAAATGATTATAACAAGAACAATTATAATTCATTCATTCATTTAATAATAATAATATATCC